GCTCATGGGACATGGGCTCCTGAAAAAAGTTAATTTCTATTTTATTTTCTTGGAAAAATTAATTTTCCGGGAAAAATGCCACTAAAATGCTCGAATAATGCTCAATGCTTTTGCCTCACTAAAATGCTCGAAAAAATGCTAGCATAATGTACAAAAGCCTATCTCAGGGCGAGCAGCTTTAATTGAGAAACCGGTCGTTTCGAAACAAAAAGTCGTTTTAATACAAGTCATTTCAATGCTCAAGTGATGAAATTGCACAAAAATTTTGAGCACTTGAAGAGTAGTTTGCGCATGAACAAGAGAAATATTTGGAGTGAACATTTGTCAGAACAACTATCTACATCTCGATTGAGTAGACTTGTATCGAAACGCCGGCCGGTAGATGATACATGGGCCCGCTGCAACGCACGCTAAACGGCCGATAATCCATTAATTTCACAACATATTACTAAATTTCCAGAAAAAGCGAGTCTACTAAAACTAAACTTGCGACAAATACCATTTAGATTTAGATGTTGAAATACCCTTAGCCAATAAAATAGACAGAAACGAGCTGTGAAAGATAAACCTTTACTCATAAGAAAGATTCATTGATAAAAACACAAATTTCAACGACTACTAACTTTTACTATCAAGTGTAAATTTTTAAAACTATTTGCAAATACATACTACAATTCCAAAAACAACATATAAATTTATCTTAGGCAACCAATAAAAGGTAAAATTCATGTCTTGCACTGATGAAGGGTTATAGATAAATAGGTCGTGTCACTGACACCGGTAACCCCTTTTCCCATTCTTCGTAACAATGAAATCACTTCTTGAGGAAATCAGTTATTTTCTTTGACTTTTTACTTGGTGAGGCTTGCTTGCTGATCTTCCTCTTCACAGGTTTGCTTTGGCTTTCTTCATCAGAACCTTAAAAAGATTGGAACAATCAGGCCTTTTGTCCCTTTCTCATTAAAGCAGTCAATTTGTACATATCTGCCAATGTCCTATCGCCCATATTACAACATGTACCCCAACCCCCAATATTTTGCTTTCTTGTTTGCAAAGTCGTTGTTTGTATTAAAGCACTCACGCATGAAGACAATGCTTATGCACTTTTTTTTGAGAGGAGAGGAGGGGCGGTGTATTACGGGGAAGACGAGGAGCCATATTTAAGAGGAGAACTGTTGGATGGCTGGGTGGGGATCTGTCTTGTTCAAGGTTGCTCTCCTCTCCTCTCCTCTCCCCGCCCGAACCACCTTACTCTTATGCAGTGCTCGTGGTGTGTCGGGAACGATACACTCACTGATTTCCATGTGACATTCACGCCTAGAAACTCCCCTTGGTGTGGGGTCTCGCTATGCATTTCTATAACATCAAACTTCTTGCATTTTCAGCTCCTCTTCGATCTCCAAACCACCCCTCACCCTTGTTAACAAAACATGTATGAACCCGATGACCGAATATAATCTTGGCAAAGACAGGATACAGGATAAAATGCCGGGAGAGATCCTTCCTGCATGCACCCTGACTTCAGAGGTCTGTTCTCAAAATATCTAATATGAAATAAACCGTGCTTACGGTTTGATAAAGATTCCGAGATGGAGTATTCTCTCGGCGCTTCACCCCGAACCATCGATATTGTTAAGAAAAAATATCCCCTGGAACCCAGGGTACCCTGCACATTAGCCGTCATAAAATGACAAATGCATAGTTCATTATTTGATGTTATCCAGTACTGACGGTACCTTCATCTGTTGCAGTGCCCCCATACTGTTTGGCTCTCGCCTTTTTCATCCTTTCGATGTTTGTTTTCATGGCCACTTTATGATCCACGATTGGTTTAGGATAGTCTCTACCGATCACACATCCAGCTGCTTTCTGCACACTAAGAGGAGCAGTCCAAGGTTCATAGATGTATTTTGGTGGATACTTCTTTAGAACAGGCAAATATTTCCTGAAGAGGAAAGGAAGTTGCATTAGAGATGTCTGATGTCTGTAATCTACTACACTAGTAACCAAAGGATTTTTTCGCGCATACGACGGGGTGCTTCGGTGACGGCGACACAACTTCGGCTTTGGCTCAAGGGCAAAGCCACAAGCGTCAGTCCACGATAAAGACTTGACAACTGTGAGCTGTTGACAAAAACTAAAAATCATGCATGAAAAGTCTCTGGCACCCAAGGCTATGGTCCACCTTACTTGATGTATTCTCCATTAGGATCTGTTTTCTTGCCAAATGCTACTGGACTGTAAACTCTGAAATAAGCGTGAAAAAACGCACTTGCAGATAGCCACATCCAGTTCCCCGCATTTAAACTCCAGTCATGATCAAGAAGAAGCTTTTCAAACACCTGAAAAACAAAATATATACAACAGGAGTAAGGACTTATTGTCCACAATTCTTTTCCCTAAAGACCCTGCCTTAGTTCCTAACTGTACGTTTACATAAAGCACGCTATGAAGCAAGGAATTTAACTGGTGCCGAGCATCACAACCTTCACAACCAGTCCTTTCACCACAAAAGGGGACAAAGAAACGTCATTTCGCCACAACAGAGCTTTGGCGATTCACTGCATCTCAAATTGACATGTTTGTTACAAATCAAAATTTCATTCAGGTTAAAATTTTTTACCTACGTCGATTCTATTTCATTTGTCTTCTGGCCGTAATTATTCATTAATTAGGGCTAGGAGACAAAGGAAATAGATAACCAACCTGAGTTAAAAAAATTAACGTGAATAGAATTTTGAACTGTAACATACAAAATAATATTCAGCTTATAAAAACTAATTTACTCTGATGAACATTATGATACACAGACGAGACTAGAATAACTTTTTTAGCCTACTTCACTTTTAGGTCGAGAATTTGTGACAGTTTTTGTAGTTAAGGTTAACATAAAACCAAGGGAAGGGCCACCAATTAAGTTGGCCAATGATTAAGATATCCTGCAAACCTGGGCAAAAGTGTAGCAATCCCATGACCGGATATAGTTACAAAGAGAAAAGGAGTAAGGAGAAAATACTGTACCCATACGTCCACAAGAATGAAAGTTTTTTCGAGTCTTGAACTTCCAAATTGCAACTTTTCAAAACCGCTATTTGATCCCACTTAACATACTGCAGTACGGTCTGGCATTTTTGTAGAGCATCAACAGGCTCAAACTGGAAAAGTTACAGGAGAGAGCTCCGCACAATGCATTTAACAACAGATCGGACTCGTATGACAATTTACTTTGGCAGGCCACTCTGACGACTCTTTATAATAGAAGGCTACAAGACATAGCAATTCTTATGTTTAACGATCACAACAATCAATTACCGAAGAATCTGCAGCAGGACCTTTTCAACCTTCAAGGGTAGGGAGAAAAACGATGTAATCTACGGACCTCTGATTTTATCATGCCACGCTTTAACACTATGAAGTGTGGAAAACATTCTCTGTCATATTTAGGAACTTTTCTGAGGTCCAAGTTGACTCAGAATTGAAGGAACGTGATATGAATAACATGAACGCTTTTAAATGTTCGATAAGGAAAAGAGACTGATTGTCAGAGGTAATGGAAGATGGGGGTTGTATAGGCTGCTACATGTATTTGTGGAACAGTTGATTTTATTTTTTTTTAATGTTAATATTTATGCCATATTTTTTTAATGTCACCGGGCAATAGTTTTTAATATGATATATTTTAAATAGTTTTTAATGTCATTTTTTTTTTTAATGTCCTTGGCGATAGCTTATTTTAATATTTATGTTGTAGATGTAATATGTAATATGTAAATAAAATAGGGTATATATTTTTTTATAACACAGTGTTTCCAATAATTATTAGTGTGTAAATGCTAGAACAACTGACACTTTACACTAAAGTTACTACGACTACAACTATACTTTTTGGTGGGGATTTAGCAGCCATACGCACTACCAAGGTGTACATTATGTCATGCGTAATTCAGCTGTGAGAGTAAGTTATCCCCTTTCTTCGCCTTTTTAACGTCTGCTCACTGTTGAAATAACATGGGGCTGTCTAACAAGGGATATGACTTACCTTCAAACCTTCCTCCCAGCTGATCCATAAGTCTCCCCTGGTCAAGAAACAAGCCACAGCATGACGTGCAAGATGATGAATCCACCCCTCCCTCCTCAGCTGCGTCATGATGGCATCGATAAAGGGATACCCAGTTCGTGCCTTTAAATAATATGAACAACAAAACAATAGACATCCAATCATCCCAAGCACAGTCAAAAAAAACTCAAGGCAGATTACGAACAAAAAATTACATTGATATAGTATTGGAGGCAAAGATTCATGGTTGATTCACCAACTTCCTGTTCGCTAACGTCTTAAGCCATTTCGCTAATGTGTTAGGTCAGTTCCCTAACTTCTTTTGCCTTATCAAAGGCATGAATAACAAGGTGCCGGTATAGGTGTGTGAATCGAAACGACTTAGGACGTTAGCGAAACAACCGATCACTAAGGAGGCAAATTGCAGTGACGCAACAGAAAGAGAGAGCTTCCTTAAAGCTGGCGAAGAGACGTGGATGCATGTTTACGTCACACAAGCAAATTTCACCACCAAGCCTCGTTTTGAAATTAAAAATAAGCGAAGTTTCACAGAAATGAATTCCCAAGGCAGTAGAGTTGAAAAGAATACCCACGCACAAAAAGTGCAAATGCAAAAAATTTTGTTCACACACGAGGCTTGTTGGTGAAATTTACTCGTCTGACGTAATCATGCATAGGGGCTATTTAAACTGAAGCTTGAATAAAAAGGGTGCATTCCTATTCTTTGTAAAATTTGTTTCGGCCTGTGAAAAAGTTGCACTACCCAAAAGAAATATGACTGGGAAAATATGACCAGACGACTCCTCATGTGAATGTTGTTTTCAATCAGTCTGGCAGCGGGCTAACAACAGATTACAAAAGTTGTTACCATTCGCTCGGCTGTGGGGAGAAAGAAACTTCTTAAAACAAAATACCGGTACTCATTATGCCCCATGTAAGGTCATCTCTAGATCCCAGAATTCAGCAGATTTTTGTTCCTGGAATGTGAAATTCTGTGCTTTGGAATCCGGAATTCACAGCGTGGAATCCAGAATCCAAGACTGTATTGGTTTCCCTTACATGGGGTTAATGCATTGCTTTTTTCATCACTAAGACCCATACTGTACACACCTCAGCCCAAGCTTTGACAAACTCTGGATTGTTGTCCCATGGTACTTGCAGACAGACACGATTTCCCTCCATCTTGTTAAAGTTAGGAGTTCCATATGCTGCAGTGAAGAAAAATTCTCTCCACAGAAGCTGCCCATGCAAAGAAACTGGTGGGTTAGAGTGCTTTTTAGCCTGTAAAATAAGCAGCAGTTAGAAACAATGTAAGTATAGGTATAGACAGGAAAGACACAAGACTTAAATGGCTATGGTTGGTTACCAAAACGTCAAGGTGAGATGTATATAAGCAGTGGCATTTTTAACTGGGCCTGAAAGAAATGCCTAAATGTAAAACTACTCAGTTAAATTATTCTGATTGCTTACCCTTGCGTAAATGTCAGATAATCGATGATAAAAAAGTCTGGCTGAGAGGCATCCAAACATCACATATGGACTAAGAACAGTGGTGCTTGGTTGGAGTGAGTTTGGTGCTGTGTTGGGTTTTTCAAACTTGTTTACCCAATCCTAAAAAGAAAGAAAAACTATGTTAAAACACTGACCCTGTAAACTTCTGTTTCTGAAAAAACTTCGAGCAAAGCTGATACCTCAGTGCATGAATCTGAATATTACCTTAAATTCATAAAAGAATTGAAAAATTTTTGTTCTGATTACAAATAAAGTTTTAAAGTTAGTTTCCATCACAACTATCAGTTAATATTTGGGTTTTAATACAATGATCCTAACCCCAAGCACTGCCAAAAAGAGCACTGCCATGGTTACCACAGCCAGAGGTTTTCCTGACCAACTAAATTAACAATTTCACAAATCAGTCCTGATAATGGCCTCCATCCTTCCCCACAGCCACCCTGGTTTATGGTCAAGTTGCCCAAAATCAGAGCTGTGTCACCCAAAATGCTTAGTTAAGTCGCCCAAAATGCAGAGTTGAGGCTTGAGATTTTATCATACTCAACAATATCCTGGTGAAACAGTTTGGGACGGATTTATGGCTGGATCAGGTGCCAATGCAAATTACCTTTCCTAGCATCCATATTACCATTTGCTGCACCTGTTTTGTCTCATTGACATTTATAGAACAAGAAATATCACTCATTTATCGGGCTTGTTTCTTTGTTAATCATGGGTTAAAGAGAGAGATATATTACACATTCATACCACTTGTTTTGTCTCATCATTGCTTAAAGAATGAGGTACATTACACATTCATTCCGCTTGTTTTGTCTCATGATGGTTTAAAGAGCAAGATACATTAACACACACTCTTTAATTAACAAAAATTAGCCATGTTTCTCTGTGCACTTCACCTGATAAAATTGGGGCAACACGACTCTGCATTTCGGGCGACTTAACTCTGGTTTTGGGCGACATTACTTCAGGTGTCTTGACCAGTTACCGCCACCCTCTACGACCGTTTATTTATGCTTTCAGCAAGTCACTTGCAATTGCAGTGTCAATGAATTGATAGTTTCTCATAAACACGCAAAAAGAATTGATTTTCTTGAAAATCCAACATCAGCTTGTCATTCAATTTCGTGATCAATTTTCTACCAATAAAACATTGCTCATATGGCTGTAAAATGTGCAAAGGAATTTTTCATGTTACAAAACAACAAATGTAGGAGGTAAAGAATAAATATTTACTCTTAAAATTTCACTTTTCTCTGACTTACGCTTCAATTTCTCAGCTACGCGCAATATTCTATAAGTGGGCAGAGAATTGAACAACTAAGAAAGTTCTTTTGGTGCTATCTTCCTTTTGCTTCCAATGAAAGTAGCCAGGGGTGTCCAATCATAGTAGCTGGGAGATCCCAGGCCCCTGGCCCTTAATAGTGACTGCCCTGAGAAGAACCTACCTCTACAGAATGACTGATAACCACATGGTAGTGGAGCTCTTGTGAGCTCAAAGCACATGCAGCAGAGCACCATGAGTAATAAAATTTGTCTACCTGTGCATTCAGGAAATTTTAGTTGTGATAAAATCGTCCATCTGTCCGTCCATATGTCCCCCATACATACATACATAACTTTATTTAACTTCGGATTTAAGAGATTTTTTCGGATTTTCTTGTTAGCAGATGTGAAATGTCACTATTATGAGCTTGGTGTCCAAGGCATATATACAATCTTGATATTGGACATCCATGTTATGATCACTATTATTAACAACTGTCAAAATAGGGTATCTGCTGACCAGTGTCACATGACTGTATCATGAGGTCAGGTGATCACTTCATTGAGTTGACGTGTTTATTTAAATTGTCCACTGACCAACTATTAGTGGTCACGGGCGCAGGTCAATTTTTCAGGAGGGTGTCAGTTTTCTCATTGCTTTTGTCAAAAGTTAAATTGCTCTAGAACAACATTACTTAAAAGATTCCACAAGAGCTTTGCTTTAGGCCTTGGTTAAATCTATATATCAAAATGATAAAAGGTAATGGCAAGCACTAAAAATGTTGTAGAATTTAAAAATAAAAAAATGCATACACCTCTCTTTCCATGTGTTCATCAAGTCTTCTGAGAGCTTCAGTTTCACCACCAGGAAATAGGACACTGCTTGATTCTTCTGGCATTTCAATTCCAAGTTCTTCAAGTGTAGGGACTTGATACTTTCCATCTTCGTCATCCCCCAATGGAGTAGTGCAGCCATCAAATGTTTTCTTGTCTATGGTGGGAATTGGCTTTGACGGTGTCCCCATTGATGACACAATAGTACAAAGTTTTTTGTAGGTTAGAATAAAGTGCCACCATTTTTTCTCAAGGAAATTGTGTACAATTTGAAAAACGACAGGTTGGGTTTTCAGCTCTTCTTGGTGATAAATTATACAGAGGGACAAAAGCGATTATGATTGACTATACTGAGTTTGGTGTCCCACCAGGATGGATATTAAAATTGGGATCGTTTTTATATTTTGAAAATCACAAAAAAGAAGATTTAAAAAGAAGTATTAATAGTTGAACAATGACAAACATTAATTTACAGAATTATGATATCCTATCCTAAAAAAGGTTTGACACAAGGAAAGAAATTTCAAGGGTTTTTGTTGAACTCACTGAGTAAATAGCAAATGCAGTGGACAATGGATACAACTTTCTTTTCTTGGCGAACTTCAGAATTAATCTGTATTAGAGGAAATTGTGCACAAACAAAGGCACAGGTTTTGCAGACCTTCTTATGAGTGTGCCAACATGCTTTTTTCTTTTCTAGTTTGTTTTTTTATCCTGACAGGATTGATGCCATATTTGCACAAGTGTGATTTCAATACAAAACTTAATTAAGACAAAATGTCAGTCCTCTTTTTGAAAATTGAAAAGTCAAAAGAAATTAAATAAATCAAGGGCATTTGTTGAACTTAAATTAATGGGTGGACAAGACGATTCTCATCAGGTAAAAATCCCAAGGCTTGGTGTCAGTCTTACAAGAAACTGTTTCAACTCAACATGCTTTTTTTCTTTTGAAGTTTGCTTTTTATCTTGTCGATGTACCGGATTGATGCCACCCTTTAAAGAGGTCATTATGGGTAATCAAAAACAAAGGCTTTTTTGAATTGTAGTAACCAACTATAAAAAGCCTGGCGGTAGTCGATTCTCACCCTATGACAACGATGCTGTTTGAAACAGCGTCTCAGCATTCTTTTGCAGATTATCGTTTCACCAACCCAGGAATGTGTCTCACACAGGAGTCTGACAAGCTGTTTGACAAATTGCAGTGCAGATTATCGTTTCACCAACCCAGGAATGTACATCTAAAACAGACTATTAATTGCAATTCCTTGCTCTATGGTTGTAGGAAAATGCAGTTGAAGGAACTTTTAATAATATGTTCATAACACTGCCCCCAGGATCGTTACTCGGACTCGCAAACCTTGCGAACACATCATTTATTTGACCTTCACTGGCGTCCTGTTAGTTATCATGTTGTTTTTAAACTTATTTTGTCAGTTTTCAAATCACTTAATGACCTTCCACCTAGCTATCCAGCGGACAGTTATCGAAGGCCTTCGAGGAACTTGTGGTCCGCATCTCAACAGCTCTTAGAACAACCTCGAAAACTCACGGGGAAAAGACTGTTTTAGTGTGCCCCCCTAAACTGTGGAACTCACTACCATTAGCGAGATTTTCACAAGTCACCATTTTTAGGCAGTTGAAAGAAGGGACTGAGAACATGTCTTTTTACACAATATTTAGAGAGTAAGTCAATACTTTTGTAAAACGTCTTTAATATCTGCAGATCATATACCTATACTTATAGAATGTATATTTAGTTTTTTGCATGACTTATTATCATTATACATAAACTTTAAAGGCAAAATAATTTTAAAACAGATTAATTCTTGTTTCATTCTCTTGTTCTTTGTGAATTGCAAATAGATTTTGATATATGTTATTTCATGCTGGAGATATATATATTTTGTCCTCTTTAACACTGTAAAGCACCATATCCTCAGGATGTGAGCGCTATAGAAAGAAGCTATTTTTAACTATTATTAATTTTAACCACTACGAAAATAAACTCAGTATAGTCATTCATAATCGGCACAAAATGTGAAGAGAAAATGTGGCTTTCGATTACAAATTTATCACCAAGAAGAACTTAAAATTCACTTTAACCTGTCATGATTCAAATTGTACACAATTTCCCCTTAAAAACGGCAATTTATTCTAGTAGATGCTTACAGTCCATGAAAAGACACAGCCGCCACCTTGAAAGGCTATTTGGTACTGAGTACGCGTCTGAAAACATCTTCCTTGGATTTTCCATTTAGTTGGCATGTTTTTTTCATTGGTCTCAATAATAATACAATTTCTTTTTTTATTTTCATGCCCTTCATGTGATTTTCATCAAAATAATGGCAAAAAAAATGGAATTGATATTTTTTAAGCACAGGCTACCCACCAAGGTACATCATAATTGCTATATCATTAAGTTGACTTGTTTTAGTCATTGGTTTCAATAATAATAGTATTAATATAGTTTCTTTTTCCATATACTTCCCTTTTTATGTGATTTTCATCAAAAAATGGCAAAAAAGAAGTGATTGCAATTTTCAGCACAGGGCACCCATCATGGAAGGTTGTTGAAGAACTTCAGCGAGCAGTTGCTGCAAATCCTGAAGAGGTAGCTGTGGGCACCAATCCTAATATTGACTAACATACCCTAAACTACAACCATGCAAAGTTTGGTGCTTTTGTCCGCTCTGTATAGATCTCGCCAAAATTTTGCACTAAGCCACCGGACTATATGTCAGACAACTTGGGAAGCAAAGGTGGTGCAGTGATGAGAGCACACCCTCCCACCAATGTGGCCTGGGTTTGAATCCCGGAGGCGATGCCATAATATGTGAGTTGAGTTTGTTGCTGGTTCTCTCCCTTGCTCCGAGAGGTTTTTCTCCGGGTATTCCGCTTTTCCCCTCAGCCTCCTTAGAACCCAACACTTTCAAATTCCAATTCAATCTGGAATGCTAGACAACTTACTTGTCTAAATCATAAAGTGAATGACAGACTTTTGTTTCAACTTCAATTCCGTCCTTTGAAGCTAATTCAGAAATCTTTGAATCTCTTGCTCGTCCATCTGGTTCATGATCAAACTCAAATGTTAATTGACTGATTTTCCACTTTTTAAACAGTTGTGGTAATTCTTCTTCAGGCTTCCCTTGAATAACAAATAACCTAAAAAAAAATAAATGTGCCAAGGCATTTCAGATAGTTACATGTGAGTTAAATAAAAGAAAAAATTGCCATAAAATATGTAGTCAGTCAAACCCCCATGATATGACAAAAAAGGAACAAATCTAAGTGTCCACATAATGTTCAGAGATGTATGTAATGCAAAAATTGGGATTGGGTTAAAATTTTTTATCACTAGAGACTAAGAAACTGTTCATGTTTTTCAATATTTTTATTAATTTTCTTTCATTTCACATTACATTACATTACAATATCAACTCATTAATTACTAATAGTACATGCAATGACAAATACCAGAGTAATTACAAATTCAAAATACAAATTATAAATAAAAAAGAAAACATACAACATAAAACCTAAGCTACTAAATTATTTATAAGAAAAGAGAGTGAGGCCAAAGATGAGAAATTGATAACGTTGAAGCGCAAAAAATAAATACATTTAAATTACTGGGTATATCATGTATTTTTGTATTGGGGCATGGCAAAAGCGTGTTGGTCAAGTGATGTGCTGGAAAGAGGGATTAAGAAACTATTGAGATAAATGCATCCCATTTAGCTTAAAAAACTGTTCATGATAAATACCGGTAGGTGTGAGGTTTGACTGTATATATAGCGGATTATTTATCTGAGAAGGGTTGAATCACTATGATTCATATTGAAGGAGGCAGCCTGGCAGAGCAGTTGTGGTACTGGACTTTTAATCCAGAGGTCCCAAGTGCCTGTCCTGTACTGACCGCTAGCTGGATTTGTTCTTGGTAGTCCCAAGTTCAAATCCTCAGCAAGGCTTGTAAAACAGCCAATTGGTTTGCCTCCTACCAGTTATGATTCTGATCTTTGTTATGTTCCATTTGAATTATTTGTTTCATTATCCCTGAAAAGCTCCATAAGGGGAGAGGATAATTAAGTATTTAATAATATTATATTATTTTATTATTATTGTGTCATTCCAACATTTTCTTTGTTTTTTAAGGCATCTATGGAAAATCTTAGTTTTTGTTTGCCAACACAACATAATATGCATAAGTACATTTTCGATCACTGTCGATTATTACGAGTTTTGCATGACCCTCTGGAAAAACTATTTCACATGAACACCCTCTTTCTTTCGGAAATTTTGGCCTTTTAAACCCCTTCCCCTTGGAAATTCCATTGACCATCCATGAGGGATGTATTTTCAAATGTCTGGATATGATATGCAAATGACCTTTCATTCCTGGCCGCCATTATTTAACCTTTATTTTAGATCAACCATTGGGCCACTTCATTTTAAATATATTAAAATACCTCCCCCCACCCCTCCTCGACTAAATCCTCCCTGCAATTGGTCTCCCTGAAAGTCTTTAAAAGTAATTTCAAAATAGGTAGCTATATCGGAACCTTTGATCTTCCTTTCTTCTTCATCTCCTTCGTGTTGATCTTGTTCTCCTTGAGAAGCGAACCTCATTGATTTGTCCTTTTTTGTGGGGCGAGGATACTACAGCTGGGGTACTATTCAAATGGAGTTGACCGTCTTATATTCATGCAAATTGGACTGTCTGTATGAAAAAACCTTACTTTTTTTTTACCTGGAGCCTAACGTTTTCAAACTGTTGTCCAGATCGTTGAGTGACTGAATCAGAAATCTCCAGCGATTGAAACCCATGTTGCCATGCTTTACATGATCCGGGTCGATAAAGTAGATTGGTCGTAGTGTTAAACTTGTTTCACATGCTTCCTTAAGAGACTGGTTATCGTGTAGTCGGAGGCCTTTACGAAACCAGTGAATGGTGTGGTGAACTCGAGAAGTTTTCGCGGCCATTTTGAAATAATCGAGGACTTACGTAACTCCTAGATGGTTCGGTGAGGTTTATACGAGGTAATGGTAGGTATATAGGATTCATATATGAAGTATCCACCAAAAGCCATTGAAACTACCGCTATTCCTTCGCGGGCGCAGAAGTGTGTTAAAAACAAAAATGGCCGTCAGAGAGAAAGGAGCGGTCGTAGATGTTCTTGATAAACGGATATCAGACCTAGAAAGACGTATTCTGACCAGCGAAGAAGATGTCCTGGGTCTTAAGGGTTCATCGGTAATTCCTCTGATAGATTTTTTGTCAATCAACCCTATTGCAGAGAGACATATTTGTCTCCTCAAGTTCTGTGTGGTTTAACTGTTTTGGGCTGTGATAAACATCTCAAGATTGTAAAGTGTATGGATTTTAAAATTATCAGCTTAATAAGTCACATGTTTTTGTTTTAGTGCTTAGGAACCTTGAACAATGTACAGAAAAATCTTGATAAAATCGGCACCAAATACAAAAGAATTGCAGCAGTCTGGAAGAACGGTATATGAAATAAATATTTTAATTTAAGCTTACCTTTGTTGTTATTTAGCAACACGTTTTAATTTTATTTTAATTGTTTCTGAAGATATTGATTTGTTTTTCTTGGAAATAGTTTTTAGCGTAAGATTTTAACAAGTTGAGGGATAAACGAGTTTTGTATGGTCCAAATCCCTTGAAGTCCTTGAAAATGCATATTTGGCTTGAAAGTGCTTGAATATGAGAAATTAAGACAACGCAGTAAACCGAAAACTCGGAAGACATTATGCACATAGCATTCATTTAGCTGTTGTGTCTGAGACAATTTATAAACAGATGCACAGCAGACTAAGCAGTCTCAAATTGACGATATTAATTTTGGGGAGCAACTACAGAATACAGGGCCATATTTTAAGGTCTTAAACAGAAGTGGCTCGGTGGCTCGCTAGTCATCATGACAAGTGTTTAAAGAACACAGACATAAAAAAGATGTAAAAGTGTAAAATTTAAAGAGCAAGTAAAGGTATATATTTTAGTGGCTCGGCGGCTTGTTGGCTCTTCAGTTGAGGTTATATAGTTTAGTAGCCCAACAGCTCAGTGGCTCGTCAGTCAGGACTACCGATCCACCGAGCCATCCCAACGAATATACCTAAAAAATTGGCCCTGTATTCTGTAATTAAGCCTAATTTTGGTTTTTGTTTTCAGTGAAAGAGCTGGAAACATTTCTTTCACCTGAGTTCATGGAGAAAGCTTCTCTTTCAGATGATGCCAAAGCTGATATTATTGTAGCAGGTTAGCAAAAATTAGACAATAATATTGATAATGATGATGATAGAAGTTTCTCAGGATTGTCGCAAGGGCAAGCATGTTACATTCAAGCAAGTAAAGCAAACACGTAAGAGAAGATAAAAAGAGAAGGAAAGACTGTAATCTCTTTTGTCACTGATGCACTCAAATTCTTTGTAGTTCCATCAATTGGATTGGTTCATAAATGATGGCATGCTATTAACACACTGTCATACAAGTTTGAATTCTACTAAGTAGAAATTCACCTGAACTATGGTCAAATGTAACAAGAAATTCCTATCCCCATGATAAGATTGCAAATAACAAAACAGCTAACTTTACATGTGCTCTTGGCAATGTACAATATTATTGCCTATGTACATTATTTAACTGACTCATTTAAAAACATGAATTACAAAGAGCATGTAATTCTTCCGCAACCAAATTTGAATGTTGCTTGGGCAAACCGTGATTCCTTACTTTTTTGATCTTAAGCCCTGATAGTTAAAAACTCTCTCCAAAAAAATTTTTTTGTAGCAATTGGCCTGTGTAACATTAAAAATCATGATATTTATATAAAAGACTTTGTAATTTATTCTTAGGTGAAAGCCAACTGAGATCCTGTGCCGAGCAGCTTAGACAAGTTGAAGATTTGAAAAAAGTGGTTACAACAGAACCCCTCAAAGGTTTGTGATAGTACTGTTCAACGTCTCTTTGCCTGAAAAAATTGGTTCTAATCTGACTTTATTATAAGCAGAGTATGGTTATGATAATTGGTTTACAGTGTATATACTGGTGTGTAACAGTGTTTGTTGTGCTTAAACTGCCTCCTATTACTACTTTGCGTAAGGAACTATCTCCTTTAATTAACGTGTGATAGAATTACTTTTATCTGCTTGCAAGGGAATCATCTTGGATTGATGTCCTTGCAAGAAAAAACCACATTTCTTCTGTTGCCTAGCCTGTGTCACAGACCAAACTAAGGTTAAGTCTTTTTGCGAAACAATGCTAAAATCTTTGTTCTGGGCCTTTACTTGTGTATCAGGGTTTGAGTATGCACCATGATTGGTTCGTTCAAAAATCCATTGTCAGTTTGTCAGTCAGGTTGAAAGGAAATTTTAAACGCTTTTCCAGTAATTTTTTCCATCCGTTGGGGTCCCTTATCAACACTGCTTTGCAGACGTTACTAACATGCTTTAGATTACATCTGTGTCACAGGCTGCTACTGTTACATTGCTTTCACATAATCCATCTGTACATCCACAGGTTATGCCCACTCATGACAATATGTCACAAGCTTGGTTGAATGTGAAGTCATTATCAGAAATTCAAACTATTGACTCTAATGAAGATTACATAGGAGTTTACGAAACCTTAGTCACTATCACCTACAGAACATTCAGAACTTCACTCACCTGGATCATCATATTCCACCCACTTATTCATTTTCATGTTGTATATCATCATTGCCTTTCATATGTGCATTTAACATTGTTGTGTATTATTTTTTTATGTATCGATTTTGTGTTGCTTTGAAACTAGATTTACCAACTTGGTCTGCCAAACTTCAACCACTGGTAGAAATTCATATCCAGCAAAAGGTAGGGCTGGTGCGGAGAGTCTTTTAGATCATGAAATTCAAATGTCGCAAAATGTTGTTATTGTCATTTACACAACCCATTTTGTTAGAAATCTTGTGCGCAACCATTAAATAATTAACATGGTGGGAGAAGGACTCACTACAAAGGATATCCAAATCAGCTGAAGAGACTAAAAAGTAGAAAAATTGCTTCACGTCAAGTCCACAGCTCATATGTTTGGAAGTTTCCCGTACATAGCTTGCATCTCTGTAATGTTGTAAGTAAATGTCAGTTATTAACATCTGTGAAGAAGTGCTAATATCTTTGTTATGGGTGGCCCTCAATGTACTCAGCAAAGTTGCATATCAAAATTCCCTTCAATGTGATTGACAAATTGTAAATAACATTTTAACAGGCCAATCCTGGCGCAAACTCAAATCGTGCAGCACAGGTGGAGGCACAGAACAAGGATTTCTGTGCTGTTTCACAGACGTTACTAACTGGGATTAGATGACATCTGAGACACAGGCTATGTTCAGGAAGCTTCAGAAAATATGGGCTGTGACTTGATAATTATCAAGAAATTTGATTTTGGACACTCTCAGTTATTTTGTTACAAAATAGTTTTGGTGAGTCCTGTGAGACTCATCTTGTGAAACATCTTGAGTCCCTGTCCTTAAGCAATGAGTCCCAGTTAAAAAAATAGTGATTCCTAAATTGAAAATGCTTGGGCCTTTATGTAACCAGGCAGTTAATCTGAAGACAGACTTCAAAACTCTGTATGACAGTATACTGAAATAATTATAATATAATCCTTCTATTTTAAAGCACAACAAAGGCTAAAAGAAATGTGCATCGTTAAACGACAGCCATAATAACTGCCACAGAAATTACACAAACACATGTTGAGATCAAAATTTGATTGATCTTTGTGTCCTGTGGGATGCATGCCATGAATTATTTTGCATCTTTGGGGATTTCTGTGCATCAGGGACACAGGACCCAGAGGTACAAAATCACTGCACCCTTGGGACTCAAAGAATTAAAATAAGTTTTATTTGAAGTGCATATTAAATGCAAAGTATTGATTTTTCTTTGTTTTCTTATAGGAGGAATTCAGTGCAGGCAGTGAGAGACTCCATAATCTGCTTTCAGCCTACAACAATATAGTATCCTTTAAAATAGGCTTTATTGAACATTGTTATTTTTCCCAGTTGTTGTTGGCAGATGTAACAAAGTTTGTGTGGAGCAATATTGTTTGTGACTCATGATCTTATTTCAAACTCTCCCTTTGATTCATAAGTATATATTAGGGAAATGAAAGGAAAATTTAGCATGTAATCAGAACTGCTTCTTTGAGTGCTCAGAAAAGGCAAGAGACAATTTAATGGGCGTGATCTCTCCAAAGTTAGAAAAGTCTGCATGAGGTGGAGATGTGAGTGTTTGGTGCATGTCAATCTCTCCCTCTCTACAGTATTTTTAAGATCTTGATAAAGCATTCTTTATTTTTTTTGGTAAATGGAAGATTTCAAACCCCAGTAATTGGGGAAATGTAACTTTCACAAGATTTCTGTCAAAGAAGAGAGACAATCACAAGTAGTATTCGACTGAAGAAGGCAAGGCCCTGTTCATACTATGGAAAATTTTGTTCGTCTAGCAAAAATATTTCTCAACAGGAAGCCACTTCTAGTGTGAAGTGTTTTTCACACACCAAAATCTTCAAAGACACCATCAAGTAGATTTAGAGGCAAACAATTTTTTTAGGTGACAAAATTCTTTGTTCCTTGTCACCTATCCTTCAATGGGTCATCGTATTTAACGAATAAAGTTCCTTTAATTTAATATCGATGTTTCTGGTTAGACAAAAAATTTCATGTCTCAGTTGCAAACATGGTTACAAAAACCGAAAAAAATGGTGCGACCAAAATTTTCAAAATGTTTGCAAATGCCAAAATTATTTCATTTTTCGTTGTAGTGCAAGCAGCGCATGCTTCTTTAGGTTCCAGATGTGTAGATTGTCTTTATTGAATCCAACTGTAGCATTTGCAATAGTGTAAACGGCACACATATTGTAAATGGCTTTCCTCAGTCTAATAATAGATAAAAATTATAATCATTGTAAATTCATACAAGCATACAAATTCCTTGACTGTTTGAAGATAAATCTCCTGTCAAAACAGTTTGTTGAGTGGGATGTGTTGTTAACACAGATTGAACAAGCTATGGAAGTTAAACCAGCGGACTAGTTGAACAGTTATAAGAATGAACGTGAAAAATATTTAAGAACTTGATGAAGGGTCATCTAGTAGAATCTGTATGATATGAAATTAAAGTGTATTCAATATAACAGTGACTCACAATGCGCTACAATTTCACTGAACGCTCTTTTAGTGGACACCTGTCGAAAACGGACGCCTAGGGGTGGGTCCAACTGCTGCCTTTTTATTTTAGTCTTCTTCGTTTTTTTAGTGTCGTAAGTCAACTCTCCGTCCCACAATGAAATTTAACTCCAAAAAGGTTTTTTTTTGCGTAGATTTACTTTGTTGTTTAACAGCAAATTAGATAATTGAAAGGAAAGAAAGAGATTTAACGGGGAATATCACAGGCAGCTAACGCTCAGTATGAGAGTTTATATCATATTGTGTAATCCTCAAAATGGCCGTGAGCCTCTGCTGTGGACCCGAACATATTAAAGGATTTGTACGGGAATTCAGGTAATAGATTCAAGAAGATAAATACTCAGTGGGATTTCAATAAAAAAAAAACGCTTTACAATGTTTTATTGGTGTGGTCTTGCTCCGTGGTTATTTTCCGATCAGCTGCGATTAAAGCGATTTTCTTTACCACCGAGTATTCACTCTCTACTCGTCGATTTTTTTGCTGCTTAATAGGAGTGGAAACTGAGAGCTTGGTTTGCCTGTGAAATGATCTAAATCTGATAAATAAACATTTCCTGCAAGCGACCGCAAACGAATTTGCCGTAGAACGTAGTTTCTAAGGAAAACCTGATCAGCAGAAATATACCAAGAGATATACCTTTGTCCATATTCGCTTGTGAACAAGGACAGCCAAGCCAGGGGAGGGTCGAAATTTGCATGCTTATTCCGTTTTCGGACCAGAGTAGGCAGTCTAAATCTGCTTTAACTCGTTCCAACGGACACACCCATAAGCAATGTCTTTTCCTGGAAAGCATTTATTTACTGTGCTCGTTTTTGTGGACTTGGTGCTTTAAGGCGGAAGACGAATATTTAGCCCGCAAGTCTGAATAATACTGACCAAGCTCAAAGGCCTCGCCTTAATACATGTCGACTAAAATTCCAGTCAAAAGTTCCAGCCGTTAATTTTTTGTGTAGCGCGAGGATCTGATTTCAGACATATAAACAAACCGAAGCTTCTTGAAACATGCTGTACTTGTTTGCCGGTCATTCACCGGATCATCAAGTTCGATTGGTTACAGACAGTAGAAGCCAAAGGCATCCCTGTACCCTTCTTTTTTTAGTTTTTTTCCTCGTAGAGAAGAGTTCGCACTTATATACGTTTACACACTCAAAGGATATGCAAGTTTCGGGGTAGAAAGCAATTTTTTTTAAATCCGCAGGCACACGGCCAAAGTGCCTATTTTTAGCTATTTTTAATTATCGTTTCTGGTAGCAAACTGGCGGGAAACTATTGCGTAATTTCGCGCGCGGTACATTTCATGAATGAAGAAGAGCGAAAGTGTAACAGATCGGCATGCTCACTGAACATATTTTCGTTCCGATTCATGACAGTTTTGAAACTTTTGAGACGTAACCTGCTTTAGCAAACATTAGATCACCAGAATATTCGAAATCATGTCCCACAAACAGGGATCGCCAGTCGTTTTGCCAAAGAAGACACCGCTTTGTGCTCGATGCAAACATCATGGATTCCGTACCGCTTTGAAGGGGCATAAAAGATTTTGTAAATGGAAAGATTGTGAGTGTCAAAAGTGTATTTTGATCTGCGCGAGGAGAAAAATCATGGCTGCACAAGTTGCTATAAGACGAAAGGTGGATGACTGTTCATTGATGGACAGTACTAAAGTCGAATCTTGTGAAGTGGAAAACAGGTCCACAACTGATCAACGTGGCGCTCGTTCAACTTCAACAGGTGAGGAATTTTATGAGCTTATAACTTGAGGGCAGAACCTTTCAATAAAAACGTTAAATAAAAAGCAGTGAAACATACGCCTTTTCATCAATTAATAGGGTTAATCATTATCCGATCGATCTCGAACTTGAAGCTATCGGGATGGACAAAACCCTTGGTATGGCAAGCTCTTAAACAGCGAATGACTTTTTTTTTTCAAGATGTCCACTGGTCCACGGTGAAAATTATACAGGTGCGGGAGGGAAGGGTTTGAAAGAATTTTTACTTCACGAGTTATATGTTTACGTTGATCATATTAAGATGCTGAAATTCTGCTAAAAATGGACGTTGCACAACATTAACACTCGGGCGAAAAGAACTACCTATCATGATACTTCCAGCCATTATAGAGACATAATCCAGTACCTAAAAATTTGGTAACATATTGGTCTTAAAAGAAGAAGTCAACGCAAACAAGTAAGGGATTTGATGTTTCAGTTGGTGGATTAATTTAAAACTTCATATTCACGTCATTTCTAGCACTTTTGGTGGTAATTTATTTTTTCGGGAACTCAACATTTTTGTGATCGGTCTATAGCTAGTTCGGATTTTTTCACTGAGAACGTATTTTGCGAGTCTAATTAGCAACCACCCTTAAGATTCTTGTGTTTGAAAAACCAGACGAAAGAATTATATTCCAAAACAAAATAAAGTTGTTATCCTGTGACGGGAGAAACACTCGATTGTTCTAATTCAGGGTTTGATTCATGCTACAAAATGAGCATTTCTCGTGAATGTCTGTGAGTAGATCGTAGACCATAGAAGACGCAATAATTTATAGATCCACAAAGGGTATAGTGCTTAACAGTACGTATGAAAAGATTCCATTTTAAAGTTAAAAAATATGAATTTCTCAGCATTGCCTGGACCGTCAAGAAAACGTCCCTTTGACAGGCCACCTGACCCCGCCAGGGTAGCAAGATGCTCATGGCTTCTGAAAAGGCTCTTTCCAGATTTTTCTCAAATATCCCTACATACACTGCTGGAAGCACGTGACTTCGACCTGCTGTCAACATTGGAAACTTTGGTTGATCTGCTGCAGAATCGAGGCTTTAATGTGCCATATCCAGGGGCAATTCCAACCAATAGCGTTTATTCATCAGGTATGACAACAAGGCCGGCGTTGGCCAATGATTACGTATGCTAGCACTAGCAATATTTTCTCTTCTAAATGAGCAAAAAGTAGTTTGATTTTTTCCTATCCAATTGTTACAACTACATAAAAAACATCTATTTACAAGTACCTGCTTTTGCATTTTGAAGCCAACGTTCATTTAAATTCAATTCAAATCAAATGTATTTGGCCATGAAACACTATCCAGATCGTGGAGTGGTACTGGTCAAATTAAAACTGAGCACATGACTGGTAGAAAAACCAATAGAGAGGAGAAGTCGTTACGTCAGGATGCCATGATAGCAAATTTCTGAATGACAACAAACCAAAAACGTCACTTAAAAAGTGAATTTGCACCGTTTCAAACTTCAGCGATTTTATTTGATTTCATTTAATGTGTCAAATGTTGGCAAAATTTCTGGGTTTGTCGAAAGGACCGTTAAGTACATCTCAGTTTCTAATATTAAAGCTGCCCTTCCCAGTTACATTATTTACTTCATTTACTTCCATTGTTTTCAGGGATAGGGGCATTGTTATGTCACAATCCTTATTGTTTTCCCAGCCAATCACAAACAGTCTTGCAAATAGGTGCAGATCACCCAGCAACAGTGCCACAAAACCCCAAAACCTTAAAATTATTATCATCTCCAACAGGGTTCTTTACTTCAGTTTGTTTATTTATTTTGTCAGGTGCTCCAGTCACTGCTTGCATCAAGCTGTGGAATGACCAGGAAACAGCAGCTCAAGCACTGATATTACTGGCTGCACAACAGAACTAACCTAACATTGAATGGCACATGTAATCTGCTGCTCATTGCACTAAAATGTGATAATATTATTGCTAATGGATGGTTATTAGATTGTTGTTATTTTGCTCTACATATTCTGTTTTCCATGCTTTCAAAATCATAAGGAGCAAGCTTGGTGTAGTTGTGTTGTACATTATGAAAAGATTCATCCAATGCCTGATTGCAATTTTTTTGAAATTATATTACAAAGTGTGGCGGGGCCATTAAAACTGCATCATCTACAATGTATGAATTATTATAATGCATGCTTGCTGGCAAGTCAAACTTCAATAATTATGCTTCCCGTTCTCTAGGCTTTCAAAAAATTAATGGTAACACTTGCTATAGTTAACTAGCAGAGCAATGTTGGAATAAAATACTTGCAATTTCCGCGTTTGCTTTTACTGGCTGTCTTCTTTTTAGCACGTAATTACAGCCAAGGAGCTATTTTGCTGTTGGGGCTGCAGGGATCATGTGACATAATAGGGACCTTAACCAAAGAAAATGTTGACATCCTGGATGTCAAAAATGGCAACTGGAAGTTGATATTTTCACTCTTTCAGTGCTCTGACTCGACAAGTTCGTACAGCGGGATAAACAAAGGCATTCAGATAATATTTCAATGTCTGAGACAAAAGTGTTCCATCAAGCAAGACATCAAGTTTCCAGTTGCTTAATTCATGATGTCTCTAATGGTCAAATTTGAAATTTAGGGTATTGAAATGTTTGAGTGAAAATGACATGTTGGACCATAATAAGGCAAAATTTTCAGGAAGTATAACACGTACTCCCTGTTTGCTTGGTACGGCATGAAAAATCTTTTGCCAAATGCTGCCTATGAACCGAGTGAAGCCATATCACAAAAAATAAGCCAGGTCTAAAACTGAAATGTTACCCTGAACCCAGGATAATAATCAGCTCCCTACTATTCACCAATCTCATACCCAGATCTCCCGCTTCAGCATAAGAAAAAGTGAGATCTGGGAACAATATTAACTATTCACAGGATCAAATGGGCCAGTTCTGAATTATTAAAATTCACACTTGGCTCCAACGTTGAGAGGAATAAAACAAAAGAAAATGAAAAAAGAGATTGAGATTCAGTGCAAAATAATAATTCATATTTTGTTTAATTTCTCTCAACCTCAGAGCCAAGTGTGAATTTTGATAATACAAAACTGACCTATTTTGGAGCAAATTCTTTGCATTGTTCCTATAAATTAAACATGTATGTATAACAGACATCCTTTGAGGAAAACAATATCACTCTTTGTAGGCCATTCTTACACTTTCTTTTAATATATTTATGATTCCACAGCATAACAAATTGTTTCACTTAAGCATGATGGTGTATTAAATTTACATACTTTTTACATTCCATCAATACCAAATTTACCGCAAGTTTAATTTGTTACTGTTCTAGTTCAAGTCCATACAAAGTTTATTATAACTCTACTTGACTTTTCGAGTGCCCAAGATGAAGTGAATTCTGTTATCTGATAGGCTACCTGAGCCGGCACAGGATACCCACTTTGTTCACACAAGAAAAGCTTTTCTTTTGCCCAGGGTACCAGAGGTTTTTCTCGCATGCAGCAAGAATTTTTGGTGTTGACCGAAGGCCGACAGATCTTCAGCCCAAGCCATGCAAAAAAACCTCTGGTACGGACCGTTGCTTTTTATTGTCCCCATTGACTTTTGAGTTTTTTTATCAGATTACATCTCTGGCACCCAGGGTTCTTTTTTTGGCCATGTAATAGGTCCTTTATTGCCTAATGTTGTTTCGTCAAGATTGCTGAACACTGGCCTCATTCCTTTTTGTGTTTTTCATGGACCTCGACAAATTAGAACTAACCTGGCCAATACACAGCAGTCAAGTTTACTTCAGGCTCAGTCAATAAACCATAAGTGCTACACCTTCACTAAGCTATCAGCATTTCAAGTAATAATAATTATTATTAGATGCATATTAAAGATATGCTAATAATGTCTTCATAATATATGCTTCATTTGTCAACAATTCTCACATGTTTCTGGCAGTTATATTTTTACAACAGCTACTGATAAAGTATGTTTTAAAAAAGACTCAGCAAGCTTTCCCTCCTGCACTTCCCATGAGCAATGTGGTAGCACTGGTCAAGTTGCCTATTATGGAACAACAAACAAGCCAGAGTTCCTGAAATTTACTCCATTTATGTCTTAACAATTTGCCCTGATTTTAGTTTAATAGTACACTAGATGAGCAGAGGATAACAAAATTATTAATGTCTTAAATGTTTACAGGTAACTACAACTTTACAATTTCTTTATTTCCATAGTCAATCAAGACCACTAACTCACCAAAAATAAATACTTTCTATAATTGTCTTGTTCTGAAATAGATTTTCACAAGTACCCAAAAACAAGAAAAACATTTTGAAACTCTTTGTATCCTAAAGTTTACTTTTATAACATTTCAGTCCTTTCCTGTCACCACTGTATAGACTCAGAAATTCTAATTCATACTTTCCACCAGGGAGGGGTTCTCAAGCACCAACAAATTACAGCAAATGTAAGAAAACTAATTATAATTGGAATTTCAAAAGAACTGGAATTTTTTGGGAATTACACAATATGATTAATTTACTTCAGAATGAGACTATGGATGTGTACTTCGGTAAATAGACCCGTTAATGTTTGTATTCAGTGGATATTATAACTGGACTCTCAGAGGATTATTCAAAAATATATACAATACAACCACTTTTTTTATTATAATACAATATTTGCATGGATTTTTTTCTTACTTTCTGGTAATCAATTTCTGAAAAGAAACTAATAAATTACAATATACGAAAAAGGTGAAAAACGTTTTTTCATACCCATTTTTTTACATTACTAGTGAATATGCTCTACTGCTCTAGCTTTCAACACTTATCCAACATAAATGATTTGTAAAATAATTATTAAATAATACTAATAAATGAATGAAGCATATGGATGATTTGCAAACAGATGGCTTTGTCACTAAAAAGTACAAGTATGCTTTAAATACACGAGTCATCATCAATAACAACAATCAAGTTGAAAACGCAGGTGATGGTGCGCAGATGATCACGATGTTGGTGGTTATTATCATTGCAATGGTGACATTGACAATGGGGATGGTAATGCTGACGATGATGGTTTAGCATGAAAATGAAGATAGTGAGCATCACAACAGTCTTACAAGTAAGTCATCTTATGGCTACTGACATGGATTCCAAGGTGACATTAGTCTAGATTATCACCCCTTCCTTGTGGGAGAAGACAGAGGGGTGGAGAATGGGGGGCAGCAGGTGGGAGGTCTAAAACGGTCAAAGTGGGAAAAATAGTGGCACATTATGCAACATTGTTTAATATTCTGCAATTGAAAAAGACTAAAGGGAGGTTAAGCCAAGAAAGAAGGGACGGGCACTAGGAATGCATGGTACTGGCGGTGGGAAGTTTGGATCTCCAATCATCCACCCACTTCCTATATCACATATAGTGTAAGCAGCTGCAAACTGAAATTTCAGTCTTATTAGGCTTCATCATCACAGCAAAGCTGACAACCAGCTCAGTGACATGATTGCAAGCAACTGCAAGAATGTGATGCAATGTGGCTATAAAGACTGGTCAACGGTACTTTGCTATAATGATCAGGAGATGACAATGGCAGAAATGGCATTGAAGAGGGAGGTTATGATGATGATGAGGTTTAAGAGCTTAATTTTTTCAGAGGCCAGCTCTGAATAAATGACCCAGCAGCCACCTAGGAGAAGAGGGCCCACTTCAAGGCTGCGCATAGAACACCGCGTACATTTCCCTGGGCTTTACAGTACATGGAGCGTATACCACTTGTGTTACATCACATTTACGTTCTAGTCTACACTTCTCCAACAATTTCAGGTCCCAGTACTTTCATGGCTGTTCCTACAAGATGTATACTACCAGTTATCAGGACTTGAAGTCTTGTGGCTTTTGATATGAAATCAGGTAATGCAAAACCACCAGGAGACAATGGCGGAATGTGAGGATCCCTTCCAGACAACAGCCATCTGATGGCTTGAGATACACAGGGAAAAATTGTGGAATACAGCCCATCATCATGGCCATTCTTTATCACATGATCAGAGTCAAAAGAGTACTGTAATGGGTCAGCATGAGGTTGGAAACCTGCACCTCTCAAAGCCATCCACACCCGTTGATTTTCAACACACCAACGCAGCTGGCTGTCTTGAGTTACTGTAAAATTTGTCAAATCTGGGAAGAAACAAAATAGTGGTAAAAAAAGTGGTAGGCCATTTCTAGCTTGACAACAGACTTTCCTATCACGGACCAACAATTTGAATTTTCACCGGAAGTACCGGGTTTTCCATACCAGTGGTAAGCGTTCACAACACTTGACAATAAAAGATATACCGTAAAATAATTTCCGAAAATAAGCCCTTTTTGAGGGGCTCATTTTTGGAGGGGCTTATGTACGAAGGGAAATTTGCGCTTCCAAATCGATTGAAATAGCTTGTAGTGGGAAGGAGATTTATCATTTTTGGCTTTGTTTTACTTTGTATTCGAGAGCAAATTCCAATTAAAAGCCCCCTGGGGGGTTTGTATTAGGATGGGCGATTTAGCAGAGGGTTTTTTGCATTACAATTTTGGGGGGGCTTATATTTGGAAGGGCTTATACATGGAGAGGCTTATTTTCGGAATTTTATGGTATTTGAAGAGAACAGTTTACTTTCAAAACACGCGGCATACCTGCATCGTTACCTGTAGGATCCACATTTGCTGTATTAGGTGAGAACATTGCATGATCGAAGTTGCATTCCTGCAATAAAAGGAAAGTGACCTGAACAAGAACCACTGAGGCACTGACAAAGGCTAAATTAAAATAAGCACAGCTGAGAAGAATCCACTAATCTATTAGAAGTACTATTTCCTGTGTGTCAAAAGTATAAAACAAAACAATACAAAGACCCTGATAGAAGTTTGCAGAAAACACAACATACAACATATTCATTATCTTTGTTTTTGTCAATAATTTTTATCTATATAGTTACTTTTCTTTACACACCATAATTGGTTTAAGAAGGCTGTTAGGATCCCGACCACCAGTCAGGTTAAAAAGCAAGACACGTATGACACTCCCACTGAAAATAAGAAAAATTATGAAACAGATATCAAAATGTTTTCTTTATGGTCATTCATAATGATTTGTGAGCCCTTCCATTTTCGTTGATCAATAGTTTGATGCTTTTCAGTTGATAGTACAGAAAAAGTATACCAAAAAGATGTCCAGTGACTATGAAACATGATACTTTTACCATCGTTGTGGCTTTATGTAAAATAAAACCGGGAATATGGAATTGATCCTTAATTTCGAAACACTGAAAAATACTGTCATTCAAAGTATTGTGAGTCACCTTAGTATTGTGTGGCTCCAGAAAATATCCTTACCCAGGCTGTGGAGTGTCACTGGAAGTTCTGAAGGGGGAGGTGGTGAGGTGGGTGGTATTAAAAGGTCAAAATTTGCAAAAGAAAGTATAAGGCTAAAAATGCAATTTTTAAAGGGGTGGGGGGTGCAAATCAAAAAGCCCTTCAAGGGGAGAGTATGGACAGTGTTCGACACTAATTTTCCTGCTAACTTGCCCTGTGGGCAACTATGTCGCTAGTTTTACTTGCCGAGTGTATTTTTTGGTTGCCCAAAATAAATCACCAGCTCGCTTTGCTCGCAGTTTCATTGAATTTTCAATACTTGTGCCTTCCAACTTTGATGCCCAGCATAAATCCCAAGCGAGAGGTCATACGGTACCATTGCTTGCTAACCGTAAAAAATTTCAACTATATTTCATTTCGCGCTCCCATGACGTTTGGTATTTTCAATCTCGTTTGCTTTTCCCAGTGAAGACTTCTGGTTGAGATTCAGCTTTTCTCTTGTCTCCTGGTTCCTTAAGCTCTGTAGAATTTAACTGTTGTGTAAAACGAAATAAACTCATGGTTGCTCATCAGGCCGCCACCTTTGTTTGTTTGGTAGTTCGTGGCAAGTACGTGAGAGGACTGGGTAAAAACTTACCCATGAATACTTGCTCGTGAAGAAAAACATGGCGGAAAACGAAATACTCAATGTATCGGCGTAAGGCCAGGACCCGTCACTGTACTTGTTTTTCATTCTCCTTCTATGTTCACCTGACTAAAATTTCAAAAAAGGGATCAGGTGATTTTGCTGCAGCTGTTGGATTTTATTCTTGCCCCAGCGGCTCGAGTGTTATCCTTAACCACTTGCCCAAACGGGCAACCTGTGCAGCTTACACACTTGCCCAACGCATAATTCTACTTGCCTCGGGCAAGTGGGCAAGCGTTAGTGTCGAACACCGATGGAGGTCTAAGATGGGTGGGGCTGCCAACACCTTCCTTTCATACAGGTGGTAGTGTTTATGGCGGTGGCTGATGTCAGTTATTTGTAACAAGGACAGGGCAGAATGATCAAATGAGCCAAAAAGATGCCTATTCAAGCGGACAAAGGAATAGTTCACAAAACATCAGCTTCTCTGTCTCCCTATAGGTTCCCAATCTATCTTGCCAACTCCAGTTGACAAAACCAAATTTATGTATAAAATTATTTTACAATAAAACATTTAAAGATCACCTTTCTTTCTCCTTCTCTTCATCTGCTCTCTTTTTAAACCATTTCACACAAGCCTGGCAAAAATATTAATAAGTTTCAAAGAACAAAAATGTACAACATTTCTTCCCTTTAGAACAGTGACTGCTCAGCATAACGTTTAAGTTGTATTCTATAAGGCACAGACTTTGGCCATTGCAAGTAACACTTTGACTCCCATCTTTACCAACAGCACCAACAGGAGCTGATCAGGGAGTTTTTCTTTTTTTGGCAGGGGAGGGGGGGGAGAGGAGGGATCAAACTTGCATTTGCTATTGAAACTGTTTAAGGGTTAACTACTTTCATCTTGGCACACCATTGATATTTAAATTTTAACAATGGTTTATTAAAAAAAAGAAGTATATTTTATGCTTACTCTTGATCTGTTGTCTTAGATTATGGTAATGCAACTGATCATGAGACAAAACAAAGTAGAAACTAAACTGGCTCCAGATTTACAAAGGAAGCATGGTGTCCTAAAAAGTCATCTCATAACAATTGCTTCTTTAACAACAGCTTATCGCTAAATGAAAATACTCCATAAATCTTAGCTTAAGATGGCTTTCCAAATCCAGGTCTGGTTCAACAGCGAGATTAATAAGATAACACAACTGCAATGGTGTCTCCTATTAAAAGTGAATTTGCTGTCTTTCAATCTTAATCACGATTATTCCATAACACTTTTTTACATTTTGTCAAATGTAAGCAACTTCCTTTGGAGTTGAATTCCTAAATACTATAAGAACCACATCCAATTTCAGACAGAGAAAATTTGTAGTTGCTTGTTTCCTTTTTCAAAAAACATGAAATTAGACATTATATAAAGGAATGGAAGCCAAAGGAATGTACAAAAACAGTGTGTTGCAAATGCAGAGTTCTTGTTTTTCTAATTAAACTGACCAGTATTGCTTTTTGACATTCTTGTTACTGTCTTTGTGACATCTTAAATTCCCTATTATTACTTTTGTTTTAACCAATGAAAAATTTGAACCACAACATATTAGAATATAACTATGTTCATTAAAGTAAATCAGAACACTATTATGTGAGCAAATGCAGCATTTCTCTTTTCCTAAACAAACCTCTACACTCCTTGGTGTATGAGCACCATCCAAATAGAAGGTAACACTTGGTCTTACAATGACTTGATTTCGTCCACACCATCTTGTATTCTTTAAGCCTTGATTATCAAAACATGGGAACAAGAAAATAACTGGGTCACCCAAAAGTATTCTGCTTTCAGTAAAAATCTACAAAATAATCATTACTACCCCAAACAGTACAATCATGCACAAAAAGTATAACAACACAGAAAACTTTGCTGCACATTAATGTCGAAAATTGTGGCTTTTTTATTAGGACCATTAGTGTTAAGGTTACTGCAGCTGCTATATGTAAATTTGAAATTCTAAGGTGCAAAGATTAATAAAGACAAGGCTGTGCTCCAAGAAAAATTGAAGCGATCAGCCCAATATTAAAGCTCTAAACCTGTGACATACAGGGTGCCCAGCATTATGATTTGTATGAAAAAACAAAGATCTCCTAGTCACCGAAGAGCCAAAGTGAGGTGCCAGGAGCCACTGGGTGATGCTAGAGAACAGCTGCCCTGAAAGACCTTAATATCATTGAAGACAACATGTCAATGGCAGTGAAATATCTATGCAGTAAACCTTCTAATGAGATAAGGAGTCATTTACAGCCCTAGCACAAAACTAAACAGCCCCTTTTGAAAACACTACCTAGCTACACTGTAGCTAGTACATATTTGTACAAGACTTGGCAGTTGAACTTGGCCTCCTACGCAGGCCCTAAAATGTCTCTGATAAACCACTGCAATATTTATGTTTTCGTATTCATTTTAAAATTTGAAATTACTTGGATAGTGAAACGTTTTGATCCTTACCATTCCTCAAAGCATCAGAAACATTAAATGTTTTAGCCACAGGAACATCAAGTTTTTGTTTTTTTGATGAAGGCTCATCTGCAGTCTCTTCTCTACTTGATGAGTTGGTTGTGGTTGTTTGCTTGCCAACATCTTCAATTTAAAACAGTAGAAATAAATATTACATATTATCATTATGACGATGCAAATTTTTCTTTCTTTCTATTGGCCAAGAGCCCACCACGTGACCTGCAAATAACTGCCTACAAATAACAGTCTGCTCAAGTACAATGTTGTCCAACTAGCCGTGTTTGGCTGTAAATAATATTCTGCTCTTGCATTTGATGAAACCATGCTTTTCTCCTTCTTGTGATTACTCTTGCATAAAAATGGCAGTTCCCTTTGCTTCCCGGAAATGTTCAAACTAAGTGATCACATGATAAAACAATTGAACTCAGTTATTGCAAAATATCATGATTTGTCAGTGTCTCACAGCCTCTCTTCAGCTTTGGCAGAAAATTGATCTGCTCGCCACTGACAAATCACAATATTTCACTCAGCCTTGTCCAATAATATTATTGTTAATTAACATAATGTTAAAAAATGATACAACCCTGAAGAAGTAAAAGAAAATTAGACCTTCAATAGTTTTGCCTTTCTCAAGTGACCTGTTTAACCATGTTGTGCAAAGTTGAAGTGCCAGTGAAGCATTCAAGTATTGATGCTCTCCTTCCAGGCCAAGTTCTAGATAAAGGTACAATGACATATTAAAAAAGAAGTGACTTTGGAATAGGCTCTAATGAGGGTGCCTTACATTTTCTATAAATTCAACCCGCTTTATACAGACACTTTCTTTGGCCCCGTCAGTGTCTGTATTAATGGGGACTGACTGTAACTCCATAACCCTTTAAGTCCCAATAGTGACTAATGTCAATTTTCTCCTAACGATATCCATACAATGTCAAGAGATTAGGTTATGAGAATTAATAAAATGATCACCTAAGGGAAAATACTTTGATCTTTTATCAAATCCTCTCAACTCATTCATAAAGAAAATGTATGGAGATCAGTTTGGAGAATTTGTATGTGGATATTGGGACTTAAAGGGATATCTAAATGCATGACCAGCCCAGCAACTGCCATTGCGATCACTTATTATAATTAATTTTTTATGGCCTGTGTGATAATAATAATAGTAATGCTATATATACTACCCTAATAATATACACAAAATGACAGCTTGAAAACGTTACCAGGCATATCTCCAGGATAATGTTCTAATGATGGAACCACATGGAGTGGGACCTTCAAAAAAAAATAAGAAATCACAATGATAACTGAGGCTTTGAACAAAAGTATAAACAAGAAATGCTATCAGAAGTGTTTAGACATGTAAAGATGTTTGTGAATGAAAATACCTGAATTTCTCTAGCTCTGTCAGCTATGACTGCCATAGCATTATCTGGTTGGGGGGCAGTGAATGCTGGTACTCCAGGCTAAAAGGAGAAATTAACAAATTTACACAAAAAACAAAGATGAAGCAAGAACATAGCCAGGGTCTGAGAATGGAGAACTTACTTACAAAAGAAACACTTATATCAGAGGCTATGGTAAGTGTATGCTCTGTCAAAAATAAAAACATTATTCAACTATCCCCCGAAGGGGAGGTGAGTTAATATTCATGAATTAGGGCTAGGAAACAATTGAAAGGAAATTGAGAATCAACCAATAAACAATTTAACCTGAATAAAATTTTGAACTTTAACATATAACACAATAAATTCCAGTATATAAATTTACTCTGACGAACATTATGATACACTGACGAGACTAGGATAACTTTTTAAGCCTACTTCACTTTTAAGATGATTTTAGACGGAACAATTCGCAACGACAATTTTTAGCGCAACACAGCATTGCAACATTGTTGTGACATTGTCTCGAAAGGTTACAACCTGACCTGTAACATACGCACCGCTAGCATGGGATAAATGTGTACACATCACATTGCTACTAAGTGTGGGTTACCACTTTCTTTAAATGTTCCAAAGGCCATTTATTTGTATAAATACCTTGAATATTCCAGCCTTTTGCCAGGCAATACTTTCCAATGTTCCACCTAGCATTTTGACGTGGTCCATCCCTAGTGACGTTACTCCACATGCCACAGGCTTCCTGTGGGAAAGCACATTGGCACAAGGCAGTTAAAGCACAAGATGGTTCATGGAGCTTAAGGGTGCTGGTAGGAAAGTTTATTTGTTTTTTAAGGAAGACAGAAATAGCTTTTAAAGTTATGTTTTCAGCTGATTCAGATTGAGTATGAAATGCTTTACATATACAGTGAAACATGGATATAACACACTCCAAATATAAC